CATGGTGTCTGCCACAGCACCAGTTACCATGGCGACAGACGTCTGGTCCAGGTAATTGACCTTATGTGTTTGGAGACCAATATAATGTGTTTGGAGAAGAAATCAATATATTACGTTTTCCTTTTGAACAAACAAGACATGTCCATGAAATCAAGAGCCATGTCCAATCCGTTACGGAAAATAAACAAATAAAACACAAACAAACAAACAATCCATACATCCATGACATCCAGGATTATTTGCAGGCCGTTACTGCTGGGAAAGCCCGTCCCTTCCATGGTCTGTTGGAGCGGGCTGGTCCGGTCTCCGTTAAACGTGTAACAGTTCCCGTACACACTGAACGAGTGTGTGAAGTTCTGGGGGAGAATTATGTAAGGAAAAATAGAAAATTCAAGTAACTTTTGCAAAGCAAACACACAATGTTTACCTTCGGATATGGTCTGCTCTCAGGCTGTTAATTCTTACTCAAACACATTCACATACATGTATGTGAATGACAGGAGTCTAAATGCCTACTATGAAATTGCAACATTATGTAACCCAACACCAGTTACTATGGTGACAGACGTCAACAACAGAGGCCATTGGCCAGGTCAGAGGTTAGTGTTTGGAGCAGAAGAAGAAGAAATGGAGCAAAAACAATATGAAAACATAATAACTTGAGTGTGCTGTCGCCATGTTTGGTCATGAAATGTTGAAATAAAAAACGAACAAACAAACAAACACGTACCTCCGAGTTGCAGAGCTGCCCCTTAAAAGTGCACCCGACCATCCTCGGCCAGGCTCTCGACATGATGCCCAGGTCGAACCCTTTCCGCCTGATGATGTCAGCTACATTAAATCCCTGGTGGGGACAACAGAAAAACTTATATTATCATGAAAGTTCATCTGTGTTGGTAGCTACATGTTTAAAGTTAAAACTCTTGGTCCAACACAAAAAGTTCTCTTACCTAGAGAGAACTTTTGGACACTGAACATTGAGAGGGGTGAAGGAAGCCATATACATCAGGGCCCATCTCCCTTCATTGAACCGCGACGGGGGCCGACATCGTCTACAAGATACCTTTGACCCAGTGTTGACGTCACACTTCAAAGAAGCCACATGACAAGCTTCACTGGGTCAGTCTACTGAGGAAGACCAGAGTGTCTGGTCAGAAGCTCTAGGTGAGGGAACTTTTTTGTGTTGGACCAAAAGTTTTAACTTTAAACAAGAGAAAAACTTCAATAGCCATAATAAGAAGAATAATTAGAAGTCTAAACTTATTAGAGTTTCGAAGAAAACGCATTCACATAATGCATGTAACCTTCACAGGGGGATGCTCTGTGTACATGTAATTTATTTATCGTTCTTTCTCAAACACATTCACATATACATGGTGACCAGCCCCTCCAGCTCCAACTCTGTCCTACCACTTGCTACATAATATGTTAGTTCTGTCTCCCTCACTCTCTGTCTGTCTCTGTCTCTCTGTCTCTCTCTGTCTCTCTTCCTGTCTCTCTCTGCCTCACTGTCTGTCTGTCTCTGTCTGTCTCTGTCTGTCTCTGTCTGTCTCTCTGTCTCTGTCTGTCTCTCTCTCTGTCTCTCTGTCTCTCTGTCTCTGTCTGTCTGTCTCTGTTTGTCTGTCTGTCTCTGTCTGTCTCTCTCTGTCTCACTGTCTCTCTGTCTCTCTGTCTCTCTCTGTCTCTCTCTGTCTGTCTCTCTCTGTCTCTCTGTCTCTCTGTCTCTCTCTGTCTCTGCTACATAATATGTTAGTTCTGTCTCTGTCTCTCTCTCTGTCTCTCTCTCACTTGGTGCAGTCGTGTTCTATCATATCTATCGAACATGCTGTGCTATTACCGTGGTGGGAGAAGTCGCCGATGTAGAGTTTACCGAACTGCTGGTGTTGTCAGCAGCCGGCAGGTCCAGCCAGGCCCGCAGTGCCGCTTCGTCCATGGAACTGCCGTACAACATAGGGGAGAGGTACTGCAGCTCCTCCATGGTCGCTAGGTCCAGATCCACTCTAAAATGTTAAAGACAAAGTAGTTAAACACATTAATACATGTTTAGTATGTGTCTATGTGACCATATCTTTACAGTCCAATCTGAGATTTTCAGACACAAAGTCTCAAAAAAACAATTTACAAACAAGCAAACAACCAGACCCTATTGAAGCAATGTAAGGATGTGAAATAAACTTCTCTCAAGAGTTCTCTTGACCGTGACGGGGGGCGACACAGACTAACTATGCTCACCTGTTGTAGTTGCAGATGGTGACGGCAGGAAACGTGATCTTGTCCGCGAACTCCAGCGTCATGTCTGTGATGGTGTGGTATCGGAAGTAGTCCTGAAGCCTGTGGGAGATGGAAAACGATTGCTTCAAATATCAGAGCTATCAAACAAGAGTTGAGGTGTTCAAAAGCTTGTATTTTCCCAGAACTATCGCGGCCAATTCTACAAAGCCCAGTATCAAAATGCCCATCCACTCGGAGGCCTGCTAGTTAGAAACTTGTTCCATATCCAAAACAACCCCCTCGTAGGACAAACAAAAAAATAACGTTTAAGTACTTTTCAAAACCTAATGTCTAAGCTTCATCGACGCACGCTTCAGTGTTCCATCTGCAGTACCCACCTGTGCCACCGGGCGGCGCATGGTGCACATATCACAGCAGCTGAGAATGGACACCACAAACACGAGAATGATCTCGAGCAAAGCCAGGAAGATGTTCACTGCATGGAGGCTGATGGAAGCCGGTGTACAGTCAAAGGTCTTGTAGTGCCTACAGGTAAAATTTCAAGTCATAATTTTGAAATACTCCATCACTGGAATGTAACATTTGCAAAGCAAATACATTATGTTAACCTTATGGTCTACCCTAACAAACTACCTCTCTGTTTATTTTTACTCAAACGCATTCACACACACGCACACGCACACACACACACACACACACTCACACACACACACACACACACACACACACACACACACACACACACACACACACACACACTCACACATACACACTCATACACAAAGACACACACACACACACACACACACACACACACACACACACACACACACACACACACACACACACACACACACACACACACACACACACACACACACACACACACACACACACACACACACACACACACACACACACACACACACACACACACACACATACACACACACTCACACACACA